AACTCATATACAAAATATTAACAGTCATTTTTAAGTATGACAAGCACTTCAAAAACAGAAATTTTAGGATGACAAAATTATACTAAGCAACTTTGCATCAATGAATCTAGCTCACTAGTTCAGGCTGAATATTCATTCTCCTAAGTACTTCTTCAGGCATGCAAAAAACAGGATTAACAGGTTTAATTTGTTCTTCTCCCAAAAGTGACAATCCAGCAATTCCAAATAAAGTATGAAAAGGATCTACCTATAAAAAAATGAGAATTCAGATTATTAGAAAACAAAAACTTCTAAAACCCTGCTTCTGAACGATGGCATATTGGAGCCCACTGTATTTTCTCTACTTGAATATATGCTTCAAGTTCTCGTAATAAAAATGGCTTCAAATTGTGATGTTAACCATGCACTATTTTGGAAATGTCATGAGAAATTTCTGCAAACTTACTTTACTATTCTTTGCAGTCTCAAAAATTACAAAAAAAAAAAGCATACTACTTTCAAAGCAACACAAAAATACCCTCTATTTCTAAGTCTGGAATAGCTTAGCAACAAAAAAGTAATGGAAAATACTGAAATGTAATTGTTACATGAATGTCAGAAATGTACTTGCCATATCTCCTGGTCTGTCTGCAAATCCTCCAGTTTCTTCATCTTGACACGCTAAGATGAAACTGCGCAGTTTTTCTCGATCAATCCAATGAAGCCTTCCTATTATCTTTAGGGAAGCCAACACCCACCATGAATAGCATACATCTGGTAACTACGAGAGAGAAAAGCCACAAAGTTGCCACAATTTTTATTCTCTAGTCCACCTGGGTTGGGATGGGGAGGAATCAAGGACTATACTGACATGCAATATTTGAAATGCTGAAATTCATAAACATAACTGCTTAGAATTAAAGATAATCACTGGGCCGGAGCTCCAGTGGCGCAATCGGTTAGCGTGCGGTACTTATAAGATAATCACTGGAAAAGACCAAATACTCCAATTCATAGAAAGGCATGCTATGTGTTTCAGTACTTTGTGGGGGGAAAAAGAGAAAAAAACCCCCATCTACTTCTATTTCTTCTGTAATGAATGCCTAACTCAGTCCCTTACTCAAATAGCTGGTAGTAAGATGAAATCTATGATGATGGATATTGCATATCCCCAAGAAGAGCATTTTCAACAAGTACTCCCCAGGTATTAGATAGATCTGCTTAAAAATCACCTGAAGCCTGGCCCCTCAAAATACAATTTAAGAAATTCAAGAGCCCAGCTGGCGTGGTTCATTGGTTGAACCTATGAACCAGGAGGTCATGGTTTGATTCCAGGTCAGGGCACATGCCCAGGCTATGGGCTCAATACCCAATGGGTCCCGTGCAGGATACGGCCAGTCAATGATTCTCTCTCATCATTGATGTGTAAAGACCCAATTTAGAGCTTAATGTGTGTGACCTAAACAAAACTGAACTTGATTAAAGGTTTTTCTTTTTTTTGGTTGGGGGGAGAGGTGAGGTGGGTGGAGAGATAATAAAAATACTGAATAAAAAGTTTTAGCAATTAAAAAAGTATCTCTTTGGCTTGGCAAATCTATTGTCCCTTCAAACCAATAAATCAAAACCGCTGTTCTAGAGAGTAAGAATGAAGATTTGAGCCCAGCCTGTGTCGCTCAGTCGTTGAGCATTGAACCATGTACCCAGGAGGTCATGGTTTGATTCCAGGTCAGGGCACATGCCCAGGCTATGGGCTCAATACCCAATGGGTCCCGAGCAGGATACGGCCAGTCAATGATTCTCTCTCATCATTGATGTTTCTATCTCTATTTTCCTTCCTCTCTGAAATCAATAAAAATACGTTTTTTGTTTTTTTTTTTTAAAAAAGGCACAGAAGACACCACCTGAGGCTGAATACAATCTTCAATAAGATCCTTGGATAAATCATTCACATGATGGCCAGAGGAGAAGGGAGGCAAAAGGAGAAAAAAGTGGGGGCACCTATAATAGCCAACAATAAAGAAAAGCATTGTCCTACATTGTTAAAATGCTGGTTCCTGTTAACTACCACTCCCAATTGTTTAAAGTTGCCCAGGTTTTCCATAGGACCTTAACTAGAAACCACCTGTGGTTATTTCCCTACCCCACTCACCCCCAACTCATTAGAAATGTCAAGCAAACTAAAGTGATAAAAGAAGCACTATGCACCTATAATATATTTTTAGGGTTAGGACCCAGCAAACTATAGCTTAAGTCAAATCTAGACTACTACCAAAGAATAGTTTACATGTGTAGTTTTAAAAATGTTTAATTGACAGAAAAAGCATATGAAGCACAAAATGTACCCATAATTTTATTGCAACAGAGCCATGTCCATAATCTTACTGTCTATGGAAGCATTTGCTCTTCAGGCTGCAACAAGACCATCAACTACAAAGCTGAAAATATTTACTATCTGGTCCTTATAGACCCAATTTAGAGCTTAATGTGTGTAACCTAAACAAAACTGAACTTAATTAAAGGTTTTCTTTTTTTTTTTGGGGGGGGGGCGGTGAGGTGGGTGGAGAGATAATAAAAATACTGAATAAAAAGTTTTAGCAATTAAAAAAGTATCTCTTTGGCTTGGCAAATCTATTGTCCCTTCACACCCATAAATCAACGTAGAAGTTTCTACACTAGATGAATGTGTTCACTTAACAGTAGTCTGGCTCCCAGACATACACCATTTAATGCATGAATTATTCCCTGGTATACACCCAGAAATAAAAAGGTTTGAAGAATTAGTTTCATTTCAATGCATGAGAAATGCAAGGCCTTGAAAAGGATGAGGGAGGAAAGATCCACTCAGAATTCAGATTATGTGTGAACATAAACATATTTTAAAGCTAAGAATATTTGCCATTTTTGTATTCTCCTTTAGATAATTCAAGAATTTTGGATAGGCAAAACCAAAAGACATAAACTTATAAAACAAGCATCAGAAAGCACCATGCACAGCTTTTCTTCAAAAGTGTATTTTAGATAGAGGAACTTATGCATATTACTAAGTAGAAGAAGCAATTCTGAAAATGCTACATCTATATAATGCCAACTATATGCATTCTGGAAAAAGCAAGACTAAAGCTAGTAAAAAGATCAGTGTTTCCCAGGGATTTGGGGGAGGACAGAGGGGTGAATAGGCAAAGTACAGGGCCTTTTTTTTTCATGGTACAACAGAAAAATTATAATGAAAGGAAGATGAAAAGCTAACTATCAATTTACAAGAGCAATATTGAAAAAGTTAAAACAGCACTCACTAAAGTTATAAAGCTGTTAGAACACAATGTATCTTATGAAACAATACCTTCTCTGGCCTTCCATTCAGTCCACCTGAAGGTAACTGTCGTTCACAAAGCCACCACCCAAGTAAATCAGAGTTTACTTGGTGCAACTGATTAGTAATAGCCAGGAATCCTGTGCAACAATAGATCTAAAATTACAGACATAAAGTACAGGTGTATAATAATCTGCAATAAGTGATACAAAACTACTCAATTAAAACTCCATTTTATGTCTAAAAATTTCCTGACAATTGAACATGGAAATATCACATAATTATTTGAAAAAAAACCCAAACACCTAAGCATACTATTACTAGGACCAAATTTTGCAAATACTATTGTCAAAAGTTCTCTATGACTAAGATACTATTTCATTTCACAACTATTTATATGTATACAATGTTCTCTGGCATAGCAAATATAGGAACAAACTGCTTTCAATTATTTAAAAACTAATGGAGCCCAGGCCAGGTACTTAGTTAGAGCACTGTAATCTGGATTCACCCAGGTTTGAGGTTCAATCTCTGGACAGGGCACATAGAAGAATCAACCAATGAATGCAATTAGAGCACTGTAATCTGGATACACCCAGGTTTGAGGTTCAATCCCTGGACAGGGCACATAGAGTCAACCAATGAATGCAGATCGGTTTCTCTCTCTCCCTTCCTCTTCCTCTTTATATATATATAGGGTCGGAGTGTTTCACCAGCAGGTGAATGTACATAAAGCAAAAAGGCCTTCCTTAATCAGCAATATTAATCAACTATAATGTAACATCCCACATTATATTACCTTTGGTCAAATTAACTTCACTCATATTTAACAAACACTAAAATTGCTATTAACGTATTTTAATCTGCATTAGTGAATTACCTGCCCAGCATGGGACTCAGAACCTGGCCTACAACCAAATCCACCATCAAAGTTCATACACGATAAAACAAATTCAATTGCCTTTTCCACATTAATAGCATCCAGCTTCCCCTATAAACAAACAAAAAACAATGCCTATTAAATTCC